AGCAGTTATTTGGTTGATGTGCGCCTCAGGAGATGTGTTCGGTATTATACTCACCCCAAGATCCTTTTCCTTGAGTAAGGTTTGCAGTCTTTGGCCACCTAGACTGTACTCCGATAGGCTTCAAAATATTAATGGTGATGATGTGTTCTGTAAGAAGGATAATACCCCCCCCCCCAAAAAAAAAAAAAAAAAAAAAGTCACAATACCCTGACTGGAGCAATACTCAAATAACCCGCACATAAGAGAAACAAATCTTTGATGTTTCGGTTCGACTTCGTGCACGAACTTATGACGACGTTTTGGATCGTAACGTTGTTGTAAGTTTCTGTCTCCTGTATTTGGGTTATCTGTATTTACCTTGATGTTAGTAAGGTTTTGATCCAGGGAACTGGATATATCTTCCTTTCATGGATCGAATGCCACCCATTCCACATGCGCTATATGACCCCTGTGGGTCAAGCGCTTTCCTCCGATTAATATGTATCAATTGTAAACGGCATTAGTCTTCAATGGTGTCTCGGGGCTCGGTTGGCAGCGCACTCACCTCACTTAGTGTTCATGGTTCGATCCCCGGCACGGGTGGAAACGTTGTGCATGTTACCTTACGCCTGCTGTCCCTGTTTACCTAGCAGTAAGTAGGTACCTGGGTGTTAGTCGACTGGTGTGGGTCATCCTGAGGGTGGTAGGGCTTGGATAGCATCGTTTCCCGGGTTTAGGCTGTACAGATCCAAATTATTAATCAGATTTCTTCTGTAAAATAATTGGGGAATGTCTCTGATCAGAAATAAGTCACAGTGTTTGAATGTATTTGGTATTCTAGGTTAAATCTTTGTGTCTAAAACATATGTGTGCCCTCAAGACTATTGTTAAAAAATTGTATGTTATTTTGCCTAGAGAAAACATAAGATTCAATTTACTTTTTTGGAAGAAATTTTAAGAACTTTACTCTTTTCATGCGAATAATTTGTGAGTGTCATGTATGATCAGTTTCACCTGATCATATACGACAACTGATACCTTGATAATGCGACCTCTGAGCTACTTCAAGTGTTTGTGGTCTCTTTGAAAGCTTTGAATTGGATTGGAGCTGTGCATATCCAAATTTGCCATTTTCTTCGAAAAGTAACTGACATTAGTTTCCATATGAAGATTGAATGCCTCTTCTGATTGCTTTCAAAGCTTCATCGCCAATGTTCAACTGCATTATCAAGCTAAGCCGCACTCTGCCCTATTCCAATCGCATGGCGACTGCCATCGGTTTGGCCGTGGGTAATCCTTGTCCTTTCACACCGCACTACAGTGACAATGTTCTCTCTGGTAAGAAAACGTGTCTCTTCCAAAGAATGTTTGATCTTGGACTAAAATAATAATCACAGAAGCTGATATCAGGAGAATAAGATGGGTGCTCTAGCACTTCCCATCCTCATCGTCGTCAAATGCTCTGAACAATGCTTGACTGTTGCAGTGTTGTGTATTATGATATTTTCAGTAGCCAGGCAAGGGCCATTCACTACGATCCATGTCGGCAGTAAGCTTTTACCCATGCGAATGCTTCTTCTTACCTAGCAACAATCCTATATGCTAGAACATGGTTACCCAATGCTCTGATTAACTAGCTCGCATTCCTACCATTGAGAATTACCATTTCAATGTACAAATGTTGCTCCACTCGGCTAACATCCATTTCAGTCAGGCTTCACTAGCACGCTAGTGCTAGTCATCGCCTTCTCACCCTGTCAGTCCTTTTTGGCAGCATCATATATCATTTTGTAATGTATATTTAAAATTTTCCGCATTTATAATAGTTGCCATGACTTATTAACGATCCTCATATATATCATATATATTGGAAAAATAGCATGGAATTTATACGAGAGATAGAACTGGATGAAAGACAGAGATAAGATAAGAGATAAGACGTGGGTTATATCTACCTCTACTAAGCAATATTTCTATATTAAACTACTTGTGTTACTCCAGTGTCACTTACAGAGCTGTGTGCGTCGGTAGTTCTACTTTTCGTTACCAGCAGTTCTGTTATTACTATCACAATCTTCCGTTGCCTCGTTGGCAACTGGTCATTCTGATGCAGTAACTGATCAGACACCAGGAATCGGTTGATTTCAGAATTCCAGTCTACTTAGGGTATATGACGGTTCGCATGGGTCTGGTGGGGGATTAGTGGGGATTTAGTAAGTGGTTAAATGAGGTAGTAAGTGACCTTGGTATATAGTTGCTCTTATCCACTTTGAGCTGGTCAGTATAAATTATCATATTTCCATACATATAAAACAATTTGACCTGACCCAGTAATCTTGACTGATAAATGTATACTGAGTATGAAGTCCTTATGTTCTGGCAACTCCTCCCGCTAGGACAGTTTATTCCTTTCTGCTAAAAGTTTATTTGTAAAAATACCCTTGTATACGTTCGTGTTGCATCTTCTGCCTCGCAGTTTTATTCCATTGTTACCAGTTATGGACATATTCAGCACTTCAAATTGCTTTTCATGTTTTAGTGTCGAAGTCATTCAATGTCTTGAAAGTTAAAATGAGGGGAAAAAAAGTTAAGTACTTGGAGACTTTCTTCATAAAGTTTGTATCTGAGTGATGGTACAAGTTTGGTAGCCTTTCTTTATGCCCCTCTCAAATATATCATCATCTGGAGATCAAAATTGGACGGCATATTCAAGGTACGGTCTAATAAGTGCGTTATAAAAGGTCAATATGGTGTCTGGTGTACATGGGCGTGAAGGCTGGAGTACGATAGAGGACAATGGAGAAGTACAACCTACATGTCAAAAACCTCTAAATCTCAATAAAACAAAGAGATGTGACAGTTCCCACACTAAACATATCGTCAGAGGTCCTTATAAACTGTGTATTATCATCTTGGGGAAGCGCTAAGCCTGTAGGGATTATACAGCGCCAGTTCAAGGAACTGGAGCACAGAACAAATTCCCCTGATCAAGAGCCCATCAACATCAGTGACATCTGTGAAAACTGCAAACCTAAGAATAGCATCGAGGAAGTTGAACAATAACAAAAAATAGATGTCTAAAGCTCTAAGGTGCGGACACATCAGTGTGCACACGACGGAAGACTGATTTTCTACTTAAAATAAATATGTAAACAATGATAAAAATATCTTCATGGGAAAGCCTACCACGGGCGGGGTTAGAACCCGCGATCAGAGAGTCATAAACTCCAGATCGCGTTGGCCACTGGGTCAGCTGGCCACAATAAGTTTCAACCAACTAGGTTTTATGACTCTCTGATCGTGGGTTCTAACCCCGCCCGTGGTATGGCTTGTTTGTAATCGTGTCATTACGATTTCGAGAGTACTCATGGGAATATGGCACCAGCAGGGTGCCCCAAGAATCGATGTTTGCACCATCAATGTTTCAGATTTGTTAACTATTTACCAGGAAGAATAAAACACTGCATGAATATTTTTGTGGGTAATGTGAACGTCTTGTGCAAAATTTGTAATAAAACAGGCTGAATTATTTTAGAAAACTTGCAAATAGAGAAAAATTTATTAATAAACGAATGGTGGAATTTAGTGTAGATAAATGTCATGAAAACGGGAAAGGAAAGTAGCAGTCCACGTGAAGGAGACAGACTTTATGATAGATTATTAAAAGTTGGACAGAGAGAGAGATCCACTATCCAAATTGAAAACTGTACCATGAACAGGGATTTGTCAATTGACATAAAAAGTAGCTTTTCTTTAACAGAATTGAAGAGCAACAATATGAGAAGGCAATAAATATTACAACCCCCTGAAATTTAAAGCAAACTATATGACAGATTAAACACTGAAAACACAACTTTGTTGCTGTAGTTACAAATGGGCAACTCCCCCGCTCGAACCCCAACCCCAACCCCAACCCCAACCCCAACCCCAACCCCAACCCCACATCCACCTCCAACCCCGCCTCACACACAGATTAAGAGAAATCAGCGTGACGACACTAGAGGACAGGAGGGATAGAGACATCAAGATAACGACGTTTAAAATTCTGAGAGGAACTGACTATGTGGACAAGGCCAGAATGTATCAGAGATGAGACAGAGGAACTGGAAGATAAAAACTAAGAAGAATCATAGGGACGTTAGGAAATATTTCTTCAGTCTTAGAGTTGTCAGGAAGTGGAACAATCTGGAAAGTGAAGTAGTGGAGGCAGGATCCGCACATACCTTTAACTTAAAAAGGTACGATAAGACTCTTAGAGGAAGTGGACCTAGTAGCAACTAGCAATATGACGGAACCAGGAGCTGTGAATCGACCCCTACAACCACATATAGGTGAGTACACACACACACACACACACACACACACACACACACACACACACACACACAACCTTCTTAGAGGGACGTCATTGTTTGTCAAACAGGATTACAGAGTGCACCGTCTTTTGTCTTAGTGTCTCTGGGTAAACACACATGAAATGTCTGATCAGCAAAGTGCGTTGTGTTAGAAGACTTCTTACCGAACATCGAACAAGCTCGCCAGAAACGTAAACACATTCTCCTTATGTTAAACACTGAGGAAAAGCCAGACCGATTGCAGTGTAAAACTGACATTTTCCCACTAACACTTAGGAGAGTTTTTCTTCCGTGCTTTATCCAGAAAACGTTATTTTGATTTTTTATTCTTCCTGGTGACCAATATAGTTTCTCTGGAAGGGCAGCCAAAATGGGAGGGACATGAGAGGATGAAAGACTGTTTCACTGAGATATACAGAAATAGTTTTCAGGACCACACTGGCTGTCCAGCATCACCAAGATAGACATTATTATTATTATCATGGGGAGCGCTAAACCCGTAGAATTATACAGCGCCTGTGGGGGGGGGATGGGAGGCATTCAGGCTCAATTCAGGGAACCGGAGCACAAATCCAATTCCCTAGATCAAGAGCCCCTCACCAGCGTCAAGGAACCTTCTTTGAGGGGTACCAAGATAGATAGTCCTGGTTATGAAGACCCTCTGGCGACCCAGCATCACATGACCGTGGTCAGGAGTCTGATACTCAGATCCTTCACAATACCTGCTGTATGACGTCTCTTCCCAGGGAATAAAATTATACTCATTGTTTGACAGACTAGAGTATTACCATGTAAACTTTATGTTATAACAGACTCATAAATGTAAACAAAAGTTATAAAACCTTAAAATTTTCCTGGGCTATATATTCGCGTCCCAGGAATAATAATTTAATTCCGCTCTGGTGCCGGCGGGTTTGTTGACGCCTTTCAAAGGGTAAATTTTTCCGCCTTTTTTTTTCTTGTGTATAGAAGGAGCTTCCTGGCTAGCGTAAGTTTTTAGTGGCGCTGCAGACAAGTGACTCACTGAGCCACCTTTAATACACTAGAAAAAACTCACAACGAGGATCAGACAGAATCCAGAAGCATGAAGTTTGCCAAGTTTTCTGCGAGTGCCATTACTAAAGTTCATGAAGCTTGGCGAGTGAAGTAAGAGATGCTCAAGCTAACACTGTCATAACATTGTAAGGCAGTCTAGCTGAGCCCTATTTAAGTTTCTATCACTAAAAATAAGTCATCGATGGAACACACAGTACAAAGACACAGTTGACATTAAGTAGAACAATGAACAGCAAGCTAATGTAATAGGTAAGCAATAAGAGGAACGTGATAGAACGAAGAAATGCCAACAGGCCTGCTGCAGTGTTCCTCATTTCTTATGTTCTTATGTTCTTAAAAATAAAACTATTCAGATGTCTGATGAGCGAGAAATTAATTTTCCCTTAACTTTTTTAAGTTTAAAAGTTCTAACTCGTTATGCTTAGAATTTCTGTATTTAATTTACCTGGTAAGAGGTGTCTTCCCACTGAAGCTCGGTTTAACGCCTTCCCTAGCACATCTTCATTATAAATTATTAATAAGTAAAAACCTTTTAATAACAAGCAGCATTTTGAGAACAAGATAAAGTTATAGCTAGATGGGAGCCAGGGCTGTTCATTTATCAGTTAATTAATCTTCTCAAAAATGTTCTTATGCATAAGAGACTGTTAGAGTGGTGAGTTACTTGAGGAGTGAATGATCGATGATGGGATGATGTTATTGACGAGGCTACAGGTGCAGTTGGATTGTTGTTGGCAGCTCGTCTTGTGTAATAACTGTCTCGTCGCTTTCTGTAAAACTTATCCAGCTGAGCGACCTTCATAAGAATCTTTTATCACCTCCTTCAAGCCTTGTATTCAGCATTAGCTTCCTCGCTGCAACTAGAGCTAAGCATAGGCTGATATGAAAGCTTGACTGCATGATGTAGACGAGGGTTGTACTAGTGCTGGAGAGTCATTAGCGTACTTAGAAAAGCTGTACAGTAGCAAATCCACAGCCAGGACGAAATATCAGTCAGAATACTAAAAAAAATCTGTGTAGCAAATTTCATATCCGTTAAAGGTTATACTCAACGAATCAGCTAAAGAAGGCAAAGTAACCGTGACTGCGAACTAGCTGTTACTCCAATATTTAAAAAAGAGAAAGATTATGACTCTTCAGTTACTGCTCTATTAGTCTGACATCAATTGTCCATGATCACGCCGCCTCCGACTGTTTCATTTCACTTGTCTGCAGTATGTAATCCCCTTCGTTTAGTAAAACACGTAAGGTTTATACCAATCCCCTTCGTGCAACTGCTATACTTTGATCAAGATTGATGGGCTGAACGCATCGACTTAAGGCTGAGGGACTGATTATAATTATCTCAAACTCCTCATCTTCCACCATTCATCTCTGTACAGGACTAAGGAAGCCACTTATTGGTAAAACGTTTCCACGAAAAAGATCCCCGAGTGTTGCACAAGCGTCTCAATCAACGACTTGCAAAGAATCAAGAGAGAGATCTAGACAAGCCGTCACTGTGGACAGAAGATCGGGGAATGAATGTAAATGTGGCTAAGTGCAAGGAAACCAGAGACTAGGTATGGTGATACCAACGGTATGTAAATAAAGACAGACGCACACTTCAAGACATTTATCGAGGAAACGTCTCGCCACAAGCAGCTTTTTCAGAAGTGATTCGTGAAAAAAAACACTTTCTCAATAAATGTCTTGATGGGCGAGTCAGTGACCTTATTTACAAGTGCGAGGAAGTTCACTTTAGATATGTGAATATAAAATTCTGTATAAGTTATGCAGAAACCGGGTCACAGAGACAAGTGAAGAAAAAGGCTTAGGAATAATCCTAAGCAATGAGTTTTAATATACCAAGCAATGCCTTGCTGCTGGCTACAAGGCTAACAATGATGCTTCGAGCACAAAACTATTGCAACAATATTAATTACTGTGCAGGGCTCTGTGGGCTGGTAGTCCAGTGGAAAGCCTTGGTTAAGTGATCAGTAGTCAACAGAGATTGATAAGTACTCCAAAGATTGATAAGTACTGTACAGATTGATCAATGCTCCACAGAGATTGATCAATGCTCCACAGGGATTGATCAATGCTCCACAAAGAGGGTCATCACATGACTATCCTGACAAACAAAATACTACCAACTGTCCCTGAATGCCGCAGCTAAGAGTGAGTTCCTGTTACTAAAGCAGTGCCTCACACCAGCGTGTTTGGCTTCTTGAAAGAAGTTATTACACTTGCGTGCGCGCGCGCCTGTATGTTCGCATCTATTTGTGGTTGCAGTGGTCGATTTATAGCTTTTGGCCCCGCCTCTTCGTTGATCGCTACTACGTCTATTTTCTCCTTGCTCCACGAGCTTTATCGTACCTCTTCTTAAAACTATGTATGGATCCTGCCTCCACTACATCATCCTGCAGACTGTTCCACTTCCTGACAACTCTTAACTGAAGAAGCCCTTGTTTCTGTGTCCCGTCTCCGAAACTTTCTGTCGCTACCCCCTTGTCAATTCCTCTCAGCATTTTATACGTCGTTATCATGTCTCCCCTATCCCTCCTGTCCTCCAGTGTCGTCAGTTTCATTTCCTTTAACTTCTCTTTGTAGGCCATACCCCTTAGCTCCGGGACTAGTCTTGTTGCAAACCTTTGCACTTTCTCTAATTTCTTAACGTACGTAATCAGGTGTGGATTCCATACTGGTGCTGCATATTCCATTATGGGCCTGACGTACACGGTGTACAGTTTCTTGAATGACTCCTTACTTAGGAGTCGAAACCCTATTCTTAGGTTTTCCAGACGCCTATATGCTGCAGCAGTTATTTGGTTGATGTGTGTTTCAGGGGACATGCTCGGTGTAATACTCACCCCAAGAGCCCTTTCCTTGAGTGAGGTTTGCAGTCCTCCCTCCTAGTGTGTATTCCATATGCGGTCTTCTTTGACCTTCCCGAAGCTTCATGACTTTGCACTTGGTGGGGTTAAACTACAGGAGCCATTTGTTGGACCAGATTTGCAGCTTATCCAGATCCCATTGTAGTTCTACCTGATCCTCGTCCACTTGAATTTTCCGCATTAGCTAAACATCGTCTGCAAACTGGGACGCCTCTAAATCTATCCCTTGTATGTGTGTGTGTTTATGGTTTGCTAACGGTGTGGCTTCTCGTATGTTTGGGTGTACTCTGGATGTTATAGCTCTTCTCCCTCGCCTCCCTCTTGCCTCAGGAATGTTATTTTTCTTGTCTCTTATGTCCTTCTTTTGTTAGAGAGAATTTCATTTTTAAAGCCCTTTTTCGCTCATACTCCTTGTAATCATTTGCTTCTTTAAATATATTTCATACCGATATGTGTCCTCTCTCACTCTTTTTTGTTCATCATCATTTTTTACTATCTTCCTTTCGTGTTTTTTTTATAGTGTATTTTGGTGTTAACTTTAAGCCTCTTTCTTCTGGCCGGACTTCATCTGTTTGTCTCTGTCTTCAGTTGTCTGTTTGTAAGTTCATCTCCCTGTTTCCATTTTGGCAGGAGCCCTAAGAAGTTAAAGGAAACCTAAAAGAAGTCTCATCAGCATCAGCACAAACTATTCCAGTACCGGCAACAGCAGCGCCACCTCTTTCCTGACATCATCCTAACGTTACCACCTCCAGAACCATAACATACTAACCCATCTCCAACACCATGCCATACTAACCCATCTCCAACACCATGCCATACTAACCCACTTCCAACACCATGCCATACTAGCCCACCTCCAACACCGTTTCACCCTTCCCCTCACCCGCCATCGCATCAACATCAATTCCGGACGTAATACCAATATCACCAGCATCATCAAAAGAACTACACACATCAAGAACCAAAATTCATCGCTCTACAAAGCACCATGGACATTATCAGCGAGGGTCCACTATTAGAGCTCAACGCCGATACATTGTTAGATATCAGCACCTCAACACTGCTGAACCTTAACACGTCAACAATCGTGGACCGCAACGCCTCTACACTGTTGGACCTCAACGCCAGCTTTCCTCTGGAAGGCAGCGCAGTTCCAGGGATCACATGGGACATCTCTTCATGGTCTTCCTCGTGCAACACCTCCGAACCACAAGTCATAAGGGAGAACTTCCCCAAGCCACACGATGTAGATCTCGCCAGGCACCTCGATGTGTACGAAGTTCTTCAGGTAGGTGTTTGTATGACTTAATGAACAGTTATAGTGGACAAGAAGGGTAGTGAGCAGGAAAGGTAATAGGCAGTGTAGTACGCAGAGAGTGTACTAGGTAAAGAGTGTAGTAGGCAGTGTAGAGGGAAAGGAGTGTTGTAGGTAGTCATGTATTGGACATGAAGGAATACGTAGGAAACAGGTAAGATGGAGGATAAGAGACTATTACAACGTTGCATTGGCTGGCGCAGATGATAGACAAGATAATATTGTTGATGCAACATTCGATAAAGAGGAAGGTCTGGGGACAAAACAGTCAGTAAATCATTGAGATTATAGTAGAACTGAAGTAAAGAATGCATATTTTTTTTATCTGTGAGGCTTCATTGAAAACTGATTAGCGAAAGTAGCTAGGACAATGATGTTGTGAATATGGCTATGTGGTAACGATGTTACTGGCAATATTAAATCCTTATTCATTCCCTCCCCATAGGTGGTGTTAATGGGGCTGATGTTTGTGATGTCTCTGTGTGGTAACCTGATGGTAATGCTGGTCGTCTACCTCAACACCTTCCTCCACTCTACCATCAACTACTACTTGGTCAACCTAGCCGTTGCTGACCTTCTAATCACCGTCTTCTGCTGGCCCACCATTGTTAACCGCATCACTTATCCTCTCTACCTCCTGGGTCGCCCCCTCTGCAGAATCAGCGTGCTCACCCAAGGTATAGCTTATTGTTCTCTCACGCAATGCTGGAGTAAGTGTGGGTGACTTAAAGGCATTAAACACTTGGAGTATAAATATATAAACTTTTGGCTTCCAGTTTCCATCTCACTTTCTCAGTTGATAATTATCTCAAACGTCTACCGGTTTTCATCTTCAGTTTGTGCGTTAGTAGGGAATTGTTTCAGTTAGGTTACTGTGTCAGTACAGTGCAAGTTGGTAAGGGAAAGATGTTTTCTGTATCAGCGGAGACACTGAGTTACAGAACTTCTCAAATGTTTCAGACTTTTCCCACAAAAAATGTACCTTTACCTTTGATGAGTTCCGAGTTCCGAGGGTTTTTCTACTCCGAGAGCCCGGCTTTGGGACAGTGGTACTCGCTAGAGCAAAAAATAAAACGTTAAACGAACACTGAAAGACAAGGTAAAATCCACAATCGAAATCGAAACTAATTCTAAATGGCAAAAAATATAACCTAGTAATAGACCCTTGCTCGAGGAAGACTGAACTTTCGCTGATGACAACAAAGAAATGTATGAAATACTGAAAACACAATACAAATTACTATTAAGTCACCTATCAAACTGATTTAACATGAACGATCTACAGTATTTTTTTTTATGAATGTGGCATCAATCAGCAAATATTTCTGGCATAATCCTCGCTGGATTTTGGAGAAGCCATTGACAGTATGCCCGTGCATGCTGCTCCTTAACCAAACTTATGCAACTCCATTTTCATCACCGACTGCAAAAAAAAAAAAAAATCTGATGGAGACAGTCTCTGAACATAAGCTTTATCTCACAAGCTGAGGAGCAAGAATCCCAAAAACATAGAAGCCCAACAATTACACAATCTAGATCAACATAGGTTTAGAGCGCCATTCTTGACACTCGCAACTTACAATTACAACAGGGTTTTGAACACACTAAAAGATAAGCATAACCTACACAGACTTTACGAAAGACTTGGACAACCATAATCATAATATAATAGACTACAGTGTTTATGCAACAGGAATAACTAGAAAAGTGACCAGGCTGATCTTCGACCTTTTAAAAAAATCTTATCCAAGCAGTAATTGTCAGCGAAGTGCATTTAGTGGTCTCCATAGTGAAAAACCTGTTATACAGGACATAGTACTCGCTCCAGTTCTCTTTCATAATTTCATATCTTACAAACAGACTCAAATTACAGCACTGTATCATTCTTTGCAGACGATGGTGCAGTTGGTATGAGAACAGTTTCCACTGATGACACAGCCAACCTCTAAGACAATATAAATTAAGACTTTCGTTGGTCCAAAGAAAATAATATTTTGTTCAGCTTCGACAAATTTTAGCTACTAGGCTATGGGGGGGAGGGGAGAATTTAAAAACAAAAATACACAACACAGTCTAACAACTAGATCCAGCAAAGAAAGGAGTAATAACTGTATGTGGGAGGCTCTTACGATTAACGTATATAATAGTGCGAGGAAAATGATAGGCTAGATAAGTTGATGATGACGATTATTTATTAATTATAATTTTTGTGGGAATTATTTATTGAGAGGTTACCTGTAGGCACCTGGGTTACCTGTAGGCACCTGGGTTACATGTAGGCACCTGGGTTACCTGTAGGCACCTGGGTTACCTGAAGGCACCGTAGAGGTGCCTACAGGTAATCCAGCCTTCCCAGCTCAAGTGCTAGTCCTTTGTGTGCTTAGCGATAGACGTGCCAGCACTCACAGTTTCCTGGACAAATTCCAGTCTCCAAGTTGGTCGCGTCCCCTCGCTCTCCAGCAGGGCATCCATTTACTAAAATTTATCCTTAAACTTACAACTTCCCAGTTCCTGCCTATAATATACCTACAAGAGGCCAAATTTACACTCTTCTCTTAACACAGTGGTTCCCAAACTGGGGGTAAATTACCCCCTGGGGGTAATTTAACCATTTTTGGGGGTAATGGAGGGGTGACAGAAAAAAAGTTATGAATTCTGAAAATCAAGAAAACAATGCGGTACCCGGTATGAGGATTATTGTTAACTTTGTCTTAGTATATAAAGTTGTAAAGTAAACCTATTATAAGTAAGTAATAAAGTTAAACCAAATAACAATAAACATCAAAAACTAATATACAGTATTAGAAAAGAAGAAATATATAGCTAAGTGTGTGGAAACCCAAAAGTATTTTGACAAGTATGCTTCAGGACAAAAGTCACTCAGTAGCCCAGATCGACCTGTCCAGTACGCGTCACTCACTTCCTGAAGCTGCCTCTATTTCACACTGTCAGTTTATCTGTGAGCATCAGCCGAGGTAGACATAAGCTGGTATGAAGCCAAGAATTCCTAAACTAGCTTCAAGTATGCAACTCCATCCATCCCACTGATGTTCTTGACATCTTTGGTAATAGTCATTAGAGATGCACAATGTTCAAATACAATAAATAAAAGAAAATATCTCGTGTTTTAATTTAGCCATATATATCAATAATAACAACATTTTGTGAAAGGGGTAACATGCTTTATGTGGCATGTTAAAATGGGTAACAAGCTGAAAAAGTTTGGGAACCACTGTCTTAACGATATCTATAGTATTCATCCTAGACTTACATGACAGTATCTGTAGATTTTTTTAAAATCTTCTCACAAGATGTATGACCCAACCCGATATGTATACACAATATTCAGTTAAACTGTGTGCTTACACTATTACACGGTTATTACACAAGTTATTTAAATTAAACACATTATTATAATAACCGGAGTGTTTGCTCAACCATAGATTACCAGTGTTTACCATTTTACACACACACTCCCTAACTAAATTTGCAAACTCACTCTATAGGAGCATTAATTCCTCCGAAAAATATATCAAATTTTCCACAGTTTATTATTATTTTAATTATTATTATTATTTTTAATTAAAAAGTAAACGTCAAACCCGTGGCCCACAATCAGTAACGATTGAGTTTCTTTTACTCTCTAAACTGTTATATTGATTTACACCAACAAACTCACTTCAAGCAGGCGGAACTGCATCCCTGGCCATGAAAACTGCTCATGTAGCTTAAACTGATCTTCTTTGAATCCATGCTGGAGTGACTGATTCCAAATCTACGTGCTGAAATTACTCCTTTCTAGAATGGAAGGGACGGGATATGGTGCAACCAGTACATGAAGAGATAAGTATGAAGGTCCTAAGGCTTTTCAACACTTTCTCTTCATACACATGAGAAATTACCAATATAACACTGTCATCAAGAGAGTAATTACCTGACAAGTTCTTCCAGGCATTTTTTGACTAGCCATGTTGTGATAACTACCCTGGACTGCGTGTCTTGACCACCAACCACCTGAGTGACCAGACTGCCAACCAGGAAGCCTGTGAGAGACCGGGCGATGATAAATAAGAAAAATTTACTCCCACAGATATAATACATCGATTGGAGATGATCAGTGAAAGTAACTGTATATGTCCTCTACAGTGTTGACTCTTCTCGCACCATAACACCAATGTTAGACCTAGTGAACTTCAAGGGACGTATGTGAGTTGGCCTGACCGGCTCTCCTGTCTCTCCGCTTCACCTTCTAAAGGGAACCAAGATCGGGTGACGGAGAGGGTGATAATTAACTTAAGTTAAAAATGTCGGTGGCAAAGCTCCAGAGTCTTACGATGCTTGACGTGTGTTTATTATACTGGTAAATGGCTGATAGGAGCTGCGAGAGAGATGAAGCGTAATACAGACAACATGTGTCCTTCTCAGGTGATGAGTGTGTAGTCTTCCAACACACTTATCTTGTATTACGGTGTCCTCTGCCTCAAGGGCGTGTATTACGGTGGCCTCTTCCCCAAGGGCGTGTATTACGGCGTCCTCTTCCTCATATACGTATATTACAATGCGCACTGTAATATATCAGTGTCCTCCTCCTCATATGAGTGTATTACAGTGCTCACTGCTTCAAGGACATTTATTACAGTGTCCTCTTTCTCATATACGTGTATTACAGTGTCTTCTGATTCAAGTACGTGTATTACAGCGTCCCCTCTACCTCAGTTACGTGCTTGACGGTGTCTGTCTCACACAGGTACATGTGTTACGGTGTCAGTATTGACGCTGGCGACAGTAGCCTGTGACCGTGTGTACGCCGTCCTGCTTCCCATCAGGGCCCACAGCGCCTCCTCCAAGCCTCTCACCATTATCGTCATCCTCTGGCTCTTCTCCTTCGCCGTTGCCTTCCCTTCCTTCTACGTGAGGGACACCAGAGTCATCCAGGTATGCCCACTCTTCATAATTCTTCCTGGTGTTATTATAGGTTTGTGTTTATAGACACGTCTATATGTAATCAAAGACTTAAATAAGGCGTGCTCATTTTGCATAGAATTTATCTCCGTGGCCACGGCTAGACGGGCGGACGTGTGCTAGTAATTATATACATTACAAACGGAGTAGCAAATTGGAAGAAAAAAGGTATAAAAAGCAAAAGTACTGCAGTAGGCCTACTGGTCCATAATGGTACTGAGAAGACATGTACATTTTCAACAACTGTATTTGATAGCTTATCCTTGGTTTGGTAAGTTTGGTGTGGTAATATATTCATTTAACGCAAATTTGGCTATTGAACTTGGTCTACATTCCCCCCCCCCATCGAGAAAGTGAAACTTTCTCCTGTTAAAACAAGCACTCTTGTGCGTAATTGAAACGTCATTCCATTTGATTATGTGGTTGAAACGTCTCATATGTTGCAAGAAGACAGAGTTCTCTTGATCATATCTTCCACCACTTTCATGTTTAACTATTTGTCGAACTAGCATCCTGTTTGTCCTGTGTACAGAGTTATGGTCATTAAAATAATATTGTATACACCAGGTTCTTGCAAACAGAAAGGGTTCTTATGTTATGTAGTGAAGGCATTACCAAGTTATTTATGGTAAGAAAAAGGGGGATCAGATATTTTGTTGAGTCTCAGTGAGAGATGACGACAGCTTGACCGAATGTTGACCTGTGTCAACACCTCAGCCACCTAACAAGTTGATATTAACCTCTCTTTATGGTTCAGACGCCGAAGAAGCATCTTGATGATAAGGGGAAGGTGGCACCTGGACGAGTCATCTGAAATGGATGGATGGCACTCCACGACTCACCTGGTAGGGGATGAGGGTGTTGTCAGCGGTCTGGACGAAGGTGTGCACCAGCAGGAACATGCTAATTCCTCGCATGTTTCTTATTGCAAACAAGAGAGAATTTTATGTGTTCGTACTGATAAATTGTTACGTAGTTTTCCGTTATGTGGCGTAACTCAGACGGATAGAAAAAGTTCTAGTGAAAAAAGCATTAAAAACTGATGTTTAATAAGAGGCTGAATGAACAATTACTGGCAATTGTGCGAGTTTTATTATTAATATTAATGATTAACTGACCAGTATTTCAGTTAGCAATTTTGCTTGTACCGTATACCAAGTTAATTCTTATACCACAAATGTTACAAGATAGTGACTGTCCAGGCTAAAAATGCGTCCCATCGTGTCAGTTATTACTGTGCACACAAGCCACACTCAGCGCACACACTAAGGTCCGTGGTTCGATCCCGGATACGGGTGGAAACATTGGGCGTGTTTCCTTAAGATACTTACTATCCATGTTCACGTAACAGCAAGTAGGCACCTGGGTGATAGGTGACTGGTGTGGGTCGCATCCTGGGGGACCAAATTAACTTAAGTTGCCCGAAATGCTCTGCATAAACAGGGGCTTTCTGTATAGTATGTCACTGATGTCAGCTAAGTTTGTATAAGTTGTAGCATGTACTTATAAAAATAAAGATTATTATTATTATTATTATTATTATTATTATTATTATTATTATTATTATTATTATTATTATTATGTGAAGAGCCATAAACTCTTGTACGGAACCTCCCGAGGAAATCAAATCAGGTAATAAATTCCTGTGGAAAAAATACATGCTCATGGATCAGGTATCGAGCCTTTTATATATCTTTTTGTTCCCATGTTGTAACTGTGTAGTGGAACGACCTTCACGAGGAAAGCTGCGCAGACTTCCTATGCAGCGACACCCACCGGCAGATCTTCAACTACTACCGCATCCTGGTGAGACTTAATTATTTGTTGGCTCCCTGCAACCTGTTGACGTATATGCAAATTTATATTCTAGCCTTCACAGACGTTATATTAAAAAAATCGGTCCTGATACACAACATTCCTACTATGAAACTTGGTCCTGATTGTGTCTTTGTTGATGCTGTTCCTTCCAAACATTTTTCCTAATGTTGTTTTTTCCCTCCTGACCTCGTCTGTCTCATAACTTCTTTACCTGATTTGTCTTCTGGCTTACTCCCCTTTCCTCTCTCAGTGGTGGTTTGATAATGGTTCAGGCTGAACCGAAACGTCACTCTTAATATTTATTTCTAACCGTGGAATATTTGTGAATATTTAAGTATGTACAGTATCGCATAAACTCTCCTGGGAGGCCAACCTCAGTCCAGCAGCACACCAGGTGTTACCTTCCCTCTAAGGCAACACACCATAGGAGGCAGTGGCTACTGTACTTCGTCTGCTTAGAGGTATTTAAGCCACTACACCGAGGCTGGAACAATTCACATCTTATTTGGAGAGGAAACTTAAAACGATATTTCGGTCAATCTTGGATAATTATCAAATCCAGGCTTGATAATGATATTGACCTGGAATGAACCAAAGCAGTCGTCCAGGGTTTCTTCTCCATATGTGGGTTAGATGTGAATGTCAGTAACTTAAATACACTGCCCGAGTGCAGTTGTCCACTCTTAAAGATAGTTCATTGTATCGTAGGATTTAAGGTAATTAGGTGTACATTAAAATCAGGTAAATCCGGTATACATTTACATTGTTCGCTTCAAGGGGGTGCCTTGAAGCTGGTGAAGGGGCCTTGTTTCACGTAATTAGAGATACCCTCTTCCTCCTCCTCGCAACAAATCTGATTATCCTACTGATTACTCTCTGTCTGTTTGCTTTTAGTATTTTGGGATCTCGTCTGCCTTTTCTCTGTCAGTTGTCCTGTTTCTATTGACTTGCTGTAAATCCTCACCATGGGATGCACATTTTATTTAGTCCTGCTGGCACTGCCCAGAGTCGTGTTCTGTCTGGTCCCAGTGCCTCTCTTATATTATTTTCTTACATGTTTAATTTATTTCTTTGTCATTTTATTTTGCTTTACTATTTATTACTTATCCCTTTTCTCTTTCTTTTTTTGGGTTTTTCTCTGATTCCTTAATGAAAAACATCTTCGAGCTTTCCGTTCAGTTTTGTGCATTCTTCCCTGACCCTTCTATGTCAGTTTACTGGTGCATTATTGTTTTGTTCCATCCTGTGTGGCTGTTGGTATCACTTTTATTATGTTTTGGCATCGGCTAGTATGAACATTAATAACTGTCTATATGATTCTTTTTTTTATCCTTATATAAGTGACCGTAGCTCAGCCTAGTAACAAGTTTTCTAACATTCTACTTTTTTGTACGTGTCGATTTCTGAACCTTTGCCTTATTACACTTCTTTGTAAACCATTGTCTCTCTCACATTCGTCCTTGTTAATGTGAAGTTGTCTGTGTTGTGCTTGCGTGTCTTCAGTACCTCTTCTTCGTCCCGTGTTTTGTTTTACTTTACATTCTTCTTTCCCTCTATACTTTATTCAGGAACTCTCATCCTTTCGTGATTACTTCTCATATAGTTATTTTGCTTACAACCCGCTGGTCTCACTTCTCTCCATCCTCCGCCTCCACCAGGTGGTCAAAACTCAGAGCCTTGTGGTCGCTGGATCGAAGTGATTTCTCATATTCAATTTTTTTGCCTATCTACTTTACTGAGTACGAAGACTAGACTCAGTCTTTCTTGAGACGTCCTCTCCTCAAAACCCTGAACATGTTATTTCATGAAGTTTCTGATTAATACCACCATTAGGTTTTGTCTTCATAGTTTTGATACTATTTGTGATTCCTGTTCATATTTCATTTTAATTTTTAATCAAAATTCTCGTTATCAATGGTTGTATTTATTCTTTATTGCTACTTTCAATACATATTCCTTTCCTGGCCGTCATTCTTTCAATTTTATACATTAAATGTTATTATTACCTTAGATTCTCTTGTTTCTACTGACTCTGATGTGTAGCCTCTGCAGTATCTGTTAAAGAGGTTAATGGTTTCTCTAAATTTTCACACAATACTCTTTATTTTCAAGAAGTATCAAGAAGTTTGTCCAGGAAGTTTGAAAGGGCTCAGGTGTCTCTCCTACTGGAATGTATAGCTGAAGGGCATCTCTGGTATTATGTAGTGGGAGAGGATGTAATGAGCGAGGGGTGAATCATTGGACTATGTGGTTACGGAAAGTAGTTGCTCGGTTATAGTTTGTGGTTGGAGAATGTATGTGTTGTGAGTTTGAGGAAGAAGATGAGGGATAATTTGAGTGTAACTGGAAAAAGTGTAGATAGTGGGAAGGGCTGGAAGTGAAGCGTAGTGGAAACTAGTCGTGGTGATAAATGGAGAACGTGATATGATGTGGTGGAGAGGGTATAAGGAAGGTAGTAGATTGTAAACGGTGGGGTGGGCATAAGGATAGTGGTAGATGGTAAGAGTGGTGGAGTGGGCACAAAGATATAGTGGTAGATGGTAAGAGCGGTGGAGTGGGCACAAGAATAGTGGTAGATGGTGAGTGGTGGAGTGGGTACAAAGATGCTAGTAAGGGTGTTACTCATCTCTTTGTCTTGCCGCCCCCCTTCCCTCCCTCAGTGTGTAATTACCAAACTGTAATTACCAAGTTGGTTGAGCGTGTAAATTTTATGTTGTTCTAACTCTTGAGTCGTCGTCTGTGGTACATGCGTGCTTGATTATATATATATATATAATATATATATATATATATATATATATATATATATAATATATATATATATATATATATATATATATATATATATATATATACACACACACACACACACACACACACACTTAATAATTCGCAACAGGCTCAGTAGAGTTTTGTGTTGCCATCTTCTCTCACTCGAGTTGTTTCCTTAATCTCTTGAGTCTTAACATTATTGCCATGCTTTAGAATTTGATATTTTATTTTTCCACTTCATCTTCATAATTCACTAAGTTTGTTTCTTTGAAATAATTATTTTGTCTTCTGATCAGTTATTTTTTTTATTTTTTTTGTTATTTTAAATAATCATAATATATCATATTCTTATTTTTCCCTCCGCAATATTAAAATCTGGATTATACACATTGATATAGATACATGAATAAAACAGAAAACACCAGTCATAAGGTATGCAATGTTTATATATGAATTTATTGCTCACTATAGGAATATCTGTAACTAAGAATATTTTTTTTAATTTCATTGAGTTGCACATATTCTTAGTGGGTAGTTGTACTACTTGTCTTGCAACTGTGCTGGTGTCAGCTCCTGGCGACGTTGTTCTTCGTGCCGGGGGTGGTGATGGGCCTGGCTTACACTCTGATCATCTATCATCTGTGGTGTGCCAGGAGAGGGCCCAGTGATGCAGCCTCTGGTACCTCCATCACACCTGAACCTCACGCCAGAGCCAGACGCAAGGTCAGCTCACACATACACACACATTCTTCTAACATAAAACAGTTCAAGTGTCTATCAACACTTGGCCTCTGACAGATGGTAGTCTCTCTCTTTCATTATATATTATATATATATATATATATATATATATATATATATATATATTATAATATATATATATATATATATATATATATATATATATATAATCATCATACACGCCAATAATACATACACAAATTTTTAATATTATTAAATTAGGTTTGAGAGACCAATAGACCATAAGAACTGAATTTCACTCACCATTATACAACATGAGTCATTATCTCCTTTCACAGTAATCAAAGAAATAAAAAAAAATTTAAGAAATATTAACCAAATTTTTACATATGATTTAAAGCAAAGTTATATTTAACATGTTTCAGAAATAACGATTAACTAAAATTTCTTTTTCTTATTCTACAAACGTTATTTCTTAATATAATGTTTGAAATATATGTTAATTTCTGGTTGTGGTCAGATCGTGAAGATGACAGCCATGGTTCTCCTGGCCTTCAGCGTCTGTTGGACACCCCTGCACGCTCTCATTATTTACGACCTCTCAGTGGATTATATGGTAGGTGGAATTCTCTACACAGTACTGTGTGGCGCCTGGTACTGTGCTCTACACAGTACTGTGTGGCGCCTGGTACTGTGCTCTACACAGTACTGTGTGGCGCCTGGTACTGTGCTCTACACTACGGTGCGCTGGTAGGCTCTATAAGTACTGTGGCGCCTGGTACTGTGCTCTACACAGTACTGTGTGGCGCCCGGTACTGTGCTCTACACAGTACTGTGTGGCGCCTGGTACTGTGCTCTATACAGTATTGTGTGGCGCCTGGTACTGTGCTCTACACAGTACTGTGTGGCGCACGGTACTGTGCTCTACACAGTACTGTGTGGCGCCTGGTACTGTGCTCTACACAGTACTGTGTGGCGCCCGGTACTGTGCTCTACACAGTACTGTGTGGCGCCTGGTACTGTGCTCTACACAGTACTCTGCGGCGCCTGGTACTGTGTTCTACACAGTACTGTGTGGCGCCCGGTACTGTGCTCTACACAGTACTGTGTGGCGCCTGGTACTGTGCTCTACACAGTACTGTGTGGCGCCTGGTACTGTGCTCTACACAGTACTGTGTGGCGCCCGGTACTGTGCTCTACACAGTACTGTGTGTCGCTGGTACTGTGCTCTACACAGTACTGTGTGGCCTGGTACTGTGCTCTACACAGTACTGTGTGGCCCTGGTACTGTCCTCTACACAGTACTGTGTGGCCTGGTACGGCTGCTACTTGAACAGTATTGTACGCCTGGTACTGTGCTCTACACAGTACTGTGTGGCGCTCGGACTGTGCTCTGCACAGTACTGTGTGGCGCCCGGTACTGTGCTCTACACAGTACTGTAGTCTCAGGTACTGTGCTCTACACAGTACTGTAGTGTCAGGTACTGTGCTCTACACAGTACTGTAGTGCCAGGTACTGTGCTCTACACAGTACTGTAGTGTCAGGTACTGTGCTCTACACAACATTAGTGCCAGGTACTGTGCTCTACACATACTGTAGTGTACAGGTACTGTGCTCTACACAGTACTGTACTAGTCAGTGCTGTGCCTACCCAGTACTGGTAGTAGCCAGGTACATGTGCTCTACACAGTACTGTAGTGCCAGGTTACTGTGTCTACATAACATTAAGTACCATGTACAGTGCTTACCAGTTCTTAGTGTCAGGTACTGTGCTCTACACGTACTGAGTACATGTACTTTCTACATGTACTGTAGAGTCAGTGTGTCTCTACACAGTACTGTAGTGTCAGTGCTGTCTCAAACATATTGTAGTCCAGGTTACTGTGCATACAAATACGTAGTGTCAGGTGCTGGCTCCACACAGTACTATATGTCAGGTACTGTGTCAACAGTATGTAGTGTCAGGTACTGTGCTCAACACAGTACTAGTGCCAGTACATGTGCTTACACAGACTGTATGTCAGGTACTGTGCTTCACAGTATGTAGTGCATGTTCTGTGACTCTACACAGTACTGTAGTGCCAGACTGTGATCACACAGACATGTAGTGTCAGTACTTCTCTAACAGAACTTTAAGTGTAGGTGCTGTGCTCTACACAGTACTGTATGCCAGGTACGTGACTACACAGTACTGTAGTGTCAGGTACGTGCTCTACACAGTACGTAGTTCCAGGTACTGTGCTCTACACATACGTAGGCCAGACTTGCCTACACGTACTGTATGTCAGTACTTGTGCTCTACAAGCTACTTAGTTCAGTAAGTGCTAACACGTACTGTAGTCCAGGTACTGATCTTACAAGTACTGTAAGATCAGGTACTGTGCTCTACACAGTACGTAGTGTCAGGTACTGTGCTCTACACAGTACTGTAGTGTCAGGTACTTGCTCTACACAGTACTGTAGTGTCAGGTACTGTGCTCTACACAGTACTGTAGTGCCAGGTACTGTGCTCTACACAGTACTGTAGTGCCAGGTACTGTGCTCTACACAGTACTGTAGTGTCAGGTACTGTGCTCTACACAGTACTGTAGTGTCAGGTACTGTGCTCTACACAGTACTGTAGTGCCAGGTACTGTGCTCTACACAGTACTGTAGTGTCAGGTGCTGTGCTCTACACAGTACTGTAGTGTCAGGTGCTGTGCTCTACACAGTACTGTAGTGTCAGGTACTGTGCTGTACACAGTACTGTAGTGCCAGGTACTGTGCTCTACACAGTACTGTAGTATCAGGTGCTGTGCTCTACACAGTACTGTAGTGTCAGGTACTGTGCTCTACACAGTACTGTAGTGCCAGGTATTGTGCCCTACACAACATTACAGTACCATGTACTCTGCTCTACATAATACTGTACTGCTAGGTACTGTGCTCTACACAACATTACAGTACCAGGCACTGTGCTCTACACAATACTTAGCACTAATCAGTACTCAGCGCTACCCAGTACTCGGGATATTTTACCAACATCAGGTAAAGAGTTGCCGGTTTTTTAATAAAGTTAAAAAGTCAGGCTGTATTTCTTAGTTCAATAAACATCTCTGGTAATTTTTTTATGTCTCGTCAATAGGAGCTGTCTGATTCCCACTTCACAAAAAATATTAATTATTAAATAAAATATAATTCACTAGCACCACCAGTTTACATATGTATAAATAAAAAGTTAATTTAGGAAGAAAATCTAATTCACAAAGTTTATATTCAAAATCTGGTCGTTTATATTAGATGTTCGTCGATTAAACATCACTGAAACTTAACAGTATCAAAGACATCACTGTCAACTTCCATAGATCTAGACACAAGTTATGAGCAGATTACAGAACAGGAGGATCAAACCTATGGTAGACGCGTCCTAAAACTTCCAAGTCTGCCGTGAAATCGACCCCTATCCGTTATGTGATTTATTTGCAATAGCTTTATTAAGAGTTCGTAAGTCATAACTACGTTACACATGATCTTCGAAACCCATTACCAAAAATGACTGTGCTACTCCTGGGAACCTACACTGTCTCACACTGGACCAGAACGAAACAGCAGTTAACACTCTGAAACTAGAACAAGCTAGGAAGAGGTGGGTAGAAGAAGCAGCTATTCAGAGATTATATATAACAGAGCAGAACAGAGGATCTCTCGCAATTGGACAATACAGAATATTGTAATCATTTTTTCATTTCACCCCTTGGGTATTTTCACGAAAAAAACGTTAGTCTTTAACTATATGCTATACCTTAATCAAACATTATATATTCAAGGGACCAGTGCAGATTTTAGGACCACCTTGTCATCACTGGTCGAGTCCTTTCCGCCCCCTGAGATGTTTATGTGTTATGATTTCTCGAGTCAGATTTAAGATCTTTTCGTGAAAGGCCAAGTGAATATTTTTATGTTATTAAAATGCTTCAAGATTTTTTTTCTATTTACTAAAATATTTAGTGTTTCCGAAGATGGCTTCGAGATTTTGAAAAAAGGCTCTGGTCATTTATTTAGGATTCGCATCTAAATCCATGAGAGCTAAACGAATAATATAAAAGCCTCTTCAATATTCTTCATATATATATATATATATATATATATATATATATATATATATATATATATATATATATATATATATGCAATAAGATCACAGTAAAAAGGTGATTTCAGAATATGCAAAACAACCTCTCTGAAAGAATAGAGAAATTTTCTTGGGTAGAATAGTTTGTTGGTGAGTTGTGCAAAGGACCTGTCCAGTTGGGCCGGCGCGCGTCAGGTGTTTAACCGTTGTGGGATCTGATAGTGAGGTGTTGGCCAGACCCCCTTATATACCTTCCTTGGATGCTTTACTTTCATAGTTCCTTGTTAATGTGAGTAGTCACGAAAGCGCTTGGAATTTCTCTATTCTTTCAGAGTGGTTGTTTTGCATTTTTAATATAATATATATATATATATATATATATATATATATATATATATATATATATATATATATATCTCAAGATCAAGCCTTTCTCACAGACAATTTTCCAGAAGTATAGATCTTGATCATGTCTCTTTGAAAAGAGCACCAACATATGGCTGTCTTCAAGAAGGCGCTGGACAGGCACCTAGTCAGTACCTGCCCAGCCGGGCTGTGGTTCGTATGTCGGTTTCCGTGCGCCTGACGGTAACAACCTGGTTGATCAGGCCCTGGTTCACCACGAGGCCTGGTCACAGGCTGCGGGAGCGTTGACCCCCGAAACCCTCTCCAGGTAATATATCAGCGGAAGAGAGAGAAATTAAACAAGGAAGATTCATTACCGCATGACAAAATAATATTTTAGCAGCTTAAGTTAATCAGGAACCTCACTTAACACTCGTCCACTTAATTCTCCTACACCTGCCCCTCTCCCTCGCTGCGATGATGTATATCACCTGATACTCTGGTGCTTCTTTCATCGACTTCATGCACGTTTGTTCCAAGTAAAATATTGGCCTAATGTGGTGTTTTTACCCATGGTCTTTAAAATAGATAAAAAAACTCAAATTCTCGCATGATTCTTACTCATTATGTACTTGTGTCCTATAGCTGCCGTGGTGGTTCGAGCCAGCGCTCTTCTGGGCTTACTTCCTCGGCTACTCTAACTCGGCCCTCAACCCTCTGCTCTACGGTGGCTTCAGTGACAACTTCAGACTGGGCTTCAAGAAGATCCTGGGTCGTCGCCGCAGAGCCTCAGGTGTGGTCGACGTCTCTCTGCACGACTGTCGTGGTTCCCGGCCCTCTGAGTGCTTCCTGAGACACTATGATATGTGATGTTACCCTTCCTCCCCATCCCCTCCTGTGTGAGGTGCCTCCCCACCCCTTCCTGTGTGAGGCGCCTCCCTCACTCTCCTGTTTGATGTGTCTCCCTCACTCTCCTGTTTGAGATGTTTCCCTCACTCTCCTGTTTGAGGTGCCTCCCTCACTCTCCTGTGTGAGGTGCCTCCCCACCCCTCCTGTGTGAGCCGCCTCCCTCACTCTCCTGTTTGAGGTGTCTCCCTCACTCTCCTGTTTGAGGTGCCTCCCTCACTCTCCTGTTTGAGGTGTCTCCCTCACTCTCCTGTGTGAGGTGTCTCCCTCACTCTCCTGTTTGAGGTGCCTCCCTCACTCTTCTGTGTGAGGTGCCTCCCACCCCTCCTGTGTTAGGTGCCTCCCTAACCTTGCTGTGTGAGGTGCCTCCCTCACCCTCCTGTGTTAGGTGTCTCTCTAACCCTCCTGTGTGAGGTGCCTCCCTCACCCTCCTGTGTGAGGTGCCTCCCTCACCCTCCTGTGTGAGGTGCCTCCCTCACCCTCCTGTGTGAGGTGCCTCCCTCACCTTCCTGTGTGAGGTGCCTACCTCACCCTCCTGTGTGAGGTGCCTCCCTCACCCTCCTGTGTGAGGTGCCTCCCTCACCCTCCTGTGTGAAGTGCCTCCCTCACCCTCCTGTGTGAGGTGCCTCCCTCACCCTCCTGTGTGAGGTGCCTCCCTCACCCTCCTGTGTGAGTTGCCTCCCTCACCCTCCTGTGTGAGGTGCCTCCCTCACCCTCCTGTGTGAGGTGCCTCCCTCACCCTCCTGTGTGAGGTGCCTCCCTCACCCTCCTGTGTGAGGTGCCTCCCTCACCCTCCTGTGTGAGGTGCCTCCCTCACCCTCCTGTGTGAGGTGCCTCCCTCACCTCCTGTGTGAGGTGCCTCCCTCACCCTCCTGTGTGAGGTGCCTCCCTCACCCTCCTGTGTGAGGTGCCTCCCTCACCCTCCTGTGTGAGGTGCCTCCCTCACCCTCCTGTGTGAGGTGCCTCCCTCACCCTCCTGTGTGAGGTGCCTCCCTCACCCTCCTGTGTGAGGTGCCTCCCTCACCCTCCTGTGTGAGGTGCCTCCCTCACCCTCCTGTGTGAGGTGCCTCCCTCACCCTCCTGTGTGAGGTGCCTCCCTCACCCTCCTGTGTGAGGTGCCTCCCTCACCCTCCTGTGTGAGGTGCCTCCCTCACCCTCCTGTGTGAGGTGCCTCCCTCACCCTCCCTCACCCTCCCTCGCTCATAACATTCCCTCAGACCAAAGAAAGATTGGAACTTCAGTTCATTTTATTGATAATTATATCGAACTGAGAACTTAAAATCAAATTCAGTCTTAATAATGATAGAATTATTTGCTCAGTAATGATGTTCTTAACACTGCTACGTATTATATGCCATTTAGTGTAGTTTAGTCAGTCAACACGTGTTTTATAAGGGTGAAAAATTATCCATTCATTTTATTTATTGCATCATTCCCTCTCGACTTAAAAACCTGATTCCACTCCAACAGCACATCAAATCCCAGAAAACTATTTGTCATCACTCCGACCTAAAATACTCACATATACCTGCTGGATGTGCAAGTCCAAGCCTCCCAATACTCCTCATTTTACCTTTACCTCGGTTATTCCTTTCACCTTCCATCCAACCTCTCAATCAACTTATCTTAAGCTAATCTTACTGCAGTCAAACCCTCTCAACAACATATATTCCTCTCTTCGAATTATTGTTTTCATACCTAACCTTTGTGACATCAGTTTTTCACGTTCCCTTTCTGCCTAATATTGAACGCGGTGTTTCCGGTGTCTTCAGCCTCCTCCTAGTTGCAAATTTAATGGTCGTGACTTTTATCCATTTAAAAGCGTCGGAAATACTACACGATGCTCCTTTCACTTTTTTTTTATTTCTAGTTGCAAATTCCTTTCTTTTCACAGGTTTCTCAATACTCGCTTGTCCTTCATCTTTAAACTATAATGTACATCATCCTTCACAAGCCCATCTTCCAGTTATCTAAATACATTCCAATATTAATGGCATTCAAAAAGCGACAAGTACTATACTTGTAGATGATTAAGACATAAGCAACATTTGGGTGTCTAATGCGCAGCGGGAATTTAATGCAGAGTATAAATTGTGGAAGACGTGAAAAGTATAACTTGAAATGATCAGTCCCTGAACCTTGATCATTGTTCTGTCCCTCAGTAATGACAAATCTAAAGTAGATGGACGAGGATCGTAACGTTAAGCAGTTGCAGACGGAGTCACAGATACGAAAACATTCCCGTGTGTTGCACTTGTGCTTTATTCATCTAAATGCATTCCAATGTTTCATTACTTATACATGTAATGATCATCTTCCTCTCATTCGGGTTTACTTTCATTTTCTTTATTTTACACACACTTCCAAACTCTCTCACCATCCCCTGCAACATCTCTTCTAAATCTCGTAATAGCCTTAAAAAACCATACCCCGCCCTGGATTGAACCCGCGGTCAGAGAGTCTCAAAACTCCAGACCGTCGCGTTAGCCACTAGACCAACTAGAGTTCGTCACGGCCACGCTAGCTGGAGATTCGTCTGTAAAAACTTACATTTGTGGTCACAGTGGTGCCTGTGCTAACCTTCCTATGGTGTAGAAATATACCTAGTTGGACGAATCTTATTGTGGCTAGCTGGTCTAGTGGCTAACGCGACGGTCTGGAGTTTTGAGACTCTCTGACCGCGGGTTCAATCCCGGCCGGGGTATGGTTTGTTTGCAATCGTGTCATTACGATTTCGTGAGTCGTAATAGACTTCTAATACCTACAAACATTATCTATGTCAATTCTCTACTTATATCATATTCCTTTTTGTTTAATATCAGACATTAATTAGCATACTAACATTCACTTCTCTTACAACCTCGTCTATAAACATTAAAGTATCTCTTTGTTTTCAAGTTCATTAATGTAACAGACAACTCCTCTCCCTTTTTTTTTAAGAGAATACGTTCACTTACGTTCTTCAGTGCGCGAAGCACCAACATGCCTTCTGAAGGCTCTCTGCTCTTTGACAATCATACATCTTTGTCCTAATCACTATTCTAAATATAATTCGACAATACACTTTACCTGACATTCTGAACATGGTTAATCTCAAATATTACGTATATTTTCTTGTTTTTTCTGTCATTAAACAAAGGAATTATACATGCTGTCTGCTAATACCTGGGCAAACTTTCTTCTATCACACACACACACACACACACACACACACACACACACACACACACACACACACACCCACACACACACACACACAGGACCAGACAGGTCTACAAAGAGACCTGGACAGGCTGGATGTGTGGTCCAGAACTGGCTCCTAGAATTTAACCCCGCCAAATGCAAAGTCATGAAGATAGGAGGAGGGCAAAGAAGACTGCAGACAGAGTATAGGCTAGGAGGCCAAAGGCTGCAAACCTCACTCAAGGAGAAAGACCTAGGAGTGAGTATAATACCGAGTACATCGCCAAAAGCACACATTAACCAGATAACTGATGCGGCATATGCGCGCTTGGCAAACCTGAGAATAGCGTTCCGGTACCTCAGTAAGGAATCGTTCAAGACTTTATACACTGTGTACGTCAGGCCCATACTGGAGTACGCAGCACCAGTTTGGAACCCACACCTGGTCAAACACGTCAAGAAATTAGAGAAAGTGCAAAGGTTTGCAACAAGGCTAGTTCCAGAGCTAAGGGGAATGTCCTATGAAGAAAGGTTAAGGGAAATCGGTCTGACAACACTGGAGGACAGGAGGGTCAGGGGAGACATGATAACGACATACAAAATACTGCGTGGAATAGACAAGGTGGACAGAGACAGGATGTTCCAGAGATGGGACACAGAAACAAGGGGTCACAATTGGAAGCTGAAGACTCAGATGAGTCAAAGGGATGTTAGGAAGTATTTCTTCAGTCATAGAGTAGTTAGGAAGTGGAATAGTCTGGCAAGCGATGTAGTGGAGGCAGGAACTATACATAGGTTTAAGACGAGGTATGATAAAGCTCATGGAGCAGGGGGAGAGAGGACCTAGTAGCGGTCGGTGAAGAGGCGGGGCCAGGAGCTGAGTCTCGACCCCTGCAACCACAATTAGGTGAGTACAATTACTTGAGTACACACACACACACACACACACACACACACACACACACACACACACTGAATAAACGCACCAATCATTCCAGCACTTTATGCCTCACTTGCGTTCAGCACTTCACTCTTAATCTCTCCCCACCTCGCCTGGATTTTTTTTCGCTTTCAACTATCTTTTTCACTCCTCGCTCTTTACTTATTCTTATATGTCCCAATCACGAAATTTCTGCCTTCATTTCATCATCCACATTCAACAGTCTAGAAACATTCTCTCCAACACTTCCACCTCTTCTTACTCACTCCTTTCGTTTTAAGATACTCGCGTACCACTTACTGTAGTCTAGCCTCATATTCAACGTTAGTATACCACAGTGGCTAAGACCATCAGATGTGTTACTGTGACACTGGAATAAAATCATGATTGCTTGGATTACGATTTTAACGAGTACTAAGTGAATCTTCTTTTTCTACTCACAGTTTAATTATATTTATTGGCCTTAAAGTATGTCATAAACAGTTAAAAATTTCCTTATAGACGGCAGTCTTTAACCTAACCAAACCTGTTTTGAATGATGTAAAGCGAAAAGTTTACTTAAAATCGTTTGGGAGAAATTGAAGTTTGTGTTAGGACGGGTTGCTTACTATTATAGCAAAACAAAATGTTACCTACGTCAAGGTAGGTAACTCTCATAGCGGGGACCTGGCTCAGCAGCCTGGCCAGCTAGCTTTTTCCACTGACCTTCCTTTGAGTCGGAGCTTTTACCCGCCTTCCCTTTCCCCTCAGGAACGGATAAGGAT